CCCTAGGTAAGGATGGTAGGACCCCCCCCCAGCCCTTACTCTTTACACCCCCTGCAAGCCTCCCCTCACTGCCAGCTCTATGGCCTCACACCCCATGTCACCGTCCTCCCCCAGGCCGGGGGCTTATGGACACAACCCATCCCCTTTCCTCCTTCAAGGGGCTGTGTTCCCCCATCCCCCTCCTCTGGTTCCTCAGCCTCCCCTGCCCAGCGGCAGACTGTCTGCACCTGCTTGCAGGCCGATGGGGTGGAGGGACCGCGCTGGCCCCACAGCCAAGCTGTCCAGCTCCAGGGTCTGATCCTGCTCCCCTAGGATTCAAGGGGTTTCCTACCTTGTAGTGTTGGGCAGCCTCCTCTATGGGGACGGCGACATGAGCCCTGTGCTCTGCAGCCTCCCTGCACACTAAGCAGATGGGACTCTGGTCAGGTTCGCAGAAGAGCTTCAGAGGCTCCTTGTGCTTCTCACACAGGATCTCTCTTGCCTTCCTGGCCACTTCCAGGCTGAGCTTCATGGCAATTTCTACCACGTTGGCCAGCTGCCGGTTAGGCTGCAAGTTTTTCTGCTGGATTTTCTTCCTGCACTGTGGACAGGAGATGTTCCCTGCCCGCTCCTTGCAGTGCTGAGCTAGGCACTCTCGGCAGAAGTTGTGGCTACAGTCTGTGATCACCGGGTCCCTGAAAAACTCGAGGCAAATGGGGCAGGTGGCTTCTTCCTGGAGACTCTTGCTCAGGCTCAGAGCAACCTGAGCCATGGCTGGTTTCTGGGAAAGGCAAACGAAGAGTTTCACTTTCGAGCGCTCAGGCAGGGGATTACCGTCAGCCTGCAGCGCCCTCCCTCCTGCACAACGCACTGCCAACACAGCGAGTCATTTCCTGCCATCAGAGCTGGTGCTTTGGGCAGGAAACACCAGCCCAGCAGCCTCTGTTAAACCCACAAAGGACCTGCCGTAGGATCTGCAGAAGCGTCTAAGTGGATTAGGTGCCTTAGTCCTAGTTTTAACTGTGATTTAGGCACTCGGGTCCTGATCCTCAAAGATATTCAGGCCCCTCACCCATCCCAGGTGCCCAAATGCCTTTATATGTTGCCTAGAGGAGTGCAGGGACATGCTTACGCCTTCAGACCTGTGCCGGGGAGCACCGCAGTCAGGCCTGCTGTGAGCCCAAAGCTGCTGGCTTACAAACCTCGTCTCAGCCCCTGTCGCTGTTACAGCCCCTGCGCTGCTCCTGCCCAACGTCTTGGATTTGCTGGCCCATCTCCAGACTCCTGTAGCTTGCCTCTTGGCTACATGCTCTCAGCTTGGCCCTTGCAACAGCCTGCCTCCTGGCTCTTTGCCTTTTCCGTCCGTGTCATTAAAGCAGGCTAGCTTTTAGCTCTGGCTGGCACACAGCCCGTGCCTCTGGTAGGCAGGGTGGGGGATGCCGCCTCTGAATCCCTGCTTTGTCTCTTCCCATTGGAGCTATGGCTTCAGGAAGTCGAGGCCACAACAAGTGTGGTGTACAAAGCCCGATACTGTTATGCTTTTGCATTCGTTTACATGGCACCTTTCCTTATCTATATTCTGCGGGGGGGGAGGGGATGGGGGACTATGAAGCTTATCATCAGCTTCTCCAGGCTATACAGGCATTCCCAGCGTGTCTCCATTACAAGCTGCTCTTCCCACACACAGCTCAGGAGGGGCCAGGAGTGAGCACCGATTGCTAGAAGGGCTCCACCAGAGAGAAACAGGACGCTTCTTTTGCTGCAGCTACAGACTTTTTGGCCATGTCTACACGAGATGCTTTACTCCAGAGTAGACTAATCTACTATGCAGCAAAGCATTGCTATCTACACGTGCAGGCACTTACTGCACATTAAATTAGTCTAGTGTGCAGTAAATTTACTACCTGCATATGCAAGTAGTAAGTGCTTGGCTTTACTGCACAATACAGTGTTAACTGCATGTGTAGCTGCGTCTTCTCCGGGCTGAGCACGCCACAACCAAGTTAACTGTAGCCACCCATCCAGGTGGCTCCCCCTGTGAGGTGCTCTGGGCTGGGCTGACCCGCTGAATCTCCCTGAAAGTGTAAAATGGGTCAAAACAATCAAAATCTAGCACATTTATGTCTCACAGATGGACAGTTTTGGCCACAAAAAACTCTCCCCCTCATGTCCAGTCCACCCCCATGTGAAGAGACAGGAGCACGGGGCCAGGGTCTAGTGAT